CATGTAAAGCATGATGCTCCATGTTTGTGCCCCAGGCACGAAGAGGTAGTTCAACCAACTACCCACCAACCCTGACACTCGATGCAGGGATGCTTCTCCACGCTGGAGAAGTACCTATGAAGCAAGTACATCTCACACTTATCATGAAGACTGTTGTAAGTCGCAGCTGCTAAGGTAAGAATCCTTGCGTTTGGATCAGAAGTCTCCAAATTCCTTTATACCGTCAGGCTGGAGCATGGCCATGATTGGTTGGCCTACTTGGAGGGCCAAAGGGGCTTAGCATGTAGGTTAATAAGAGGGATAGCTAGGGTTACTATATGGGTTATAGAGGTTATTAACCTGCTTGCCAAGTCCTTGACCCTCCAAGTAGTCGTTGCATCGAGATGGGTTGACTGTGGAGTGCGCTGGGATCAGAGAAAGCTTAGGGTTTAGGGTAGTTGGGGAGAGTTCCCAACTGCACCGGCAGTGATAATGGTTTCAGATGATGCCCAGGGACTCATTCTGGCAGCCTTCACCAGATTATTCTGTGCTACGTCAGAGCCCAGAGAATGCAACATCTGAACTAGAATGCCGTGTGTTCCCAAAACCTGTAGGATGATGATCCAACCACACGCCCACATGGCCCAAAGTTTGAAACGCGATTCTCTGCCGGTGGCAAGGGTCCATGACCATTCGTGGATTTCGGAAGTGCACAGACGCGTCCAGGAGGGTCTGCAGGAGCTTGCTGAGACCCATGACTGTTCATGAGCTTTGCACCTGTCAGGGCTCTCATAGTCACACTCTGTATTGGCATAATTTCTATCATTATCCGTAGCTGCCTTTGATTTTGTTGTTGTTGTGCAGATATTTATCATGGCTTTCCCATTTCGACTGCAGTGCTTACTCCGACTATGCGCAGCACTGACGAATTTCAGGTCTTAAGGTAGCTCGGTGCATTCATTCAGCGTGCAAACCATTCCGTGTACATTGCTTGACCATGGGTCATCCCGCAATCCCTGAGCCCTGCCCCATTCACAACCACCCGGGCGGTTCGAATAAGTCAAGCCTATCCCCCCACCCACACAAGCCAGTTTAGCCCATACAGCCTGAAGCCCTATAATGCACGGTGTTAGGGCTCCAAAGCCTACATGTGCAGGAGATACTCAACCCAAGACCACTGTGAATCCCATAGCGCGGACAGGAGCGAAACTTCGTTGCAGATGGCGAGCGCTGTGCAGAATGCCAGGGCGTTCCCAAGGCCTTTACGAACCTCATGGAGTTGATGCAGCAATGTCCAAAAAAGGAGCCCATATTTCAAATCGGAGATAGAGCCAGAGCAAACGAACATATGGGCATGTTCAGGGGCCATTTGATTTTGTACATGCGTTCATGATGGTCTGCTGCTTTGCCTTAATACTACGTAGAGCTTCATCCGCGGCCTCAGGTTTGGTTGTAGTACGTTATGGCTTATTTTAGAATATTATATGTTATGTTGTCACATATTGTGGCATATGGTGGTATATGATGGCAGGAGTTGTAGGTTCAAAGGGTCAGCATTTTCTCTCGATGATTGGTTATCTTCTTTGCCATCATTTGGGATGTGCAAACACCCTAAACCCTTCAGCTTATCGTCGAGTAGTTCGGGGAACGGTGTCAAGCAAGAGTTTGGCCTGCTACTTCGGCTGAAGATACTGCATAAGTCTTTAGGGCTCACAGTTACTTGTAGCGCTTTAAGGACTTATGACAACACATAGCCTCCGCCACCATTGTGGTGAGTTGGATTCAAGACTGGCAATTGTGTGTGATGTTCTCATTGCATCCCCCCATGCAGGACCTATAGGAGTTCGTGTCCACTTCATGAATGAAGTTACAGAATGCACTGCTAGGATATGGATGCAGGTTAACGATCACGGTTGCGAATTCATTTGAACCTTGTGGAAGTGCACCTCAAAATGTCGAAAGTGCTGGAGGATTTTTCAGTTACAACAGCTCCTTTGGGTAAGCTAATCCTTTATGTGGCAATCATATGTCCTCCATTGGGCTTTCCTGAAGTTCAAATATCCATTTGGGTTTGGTGGGCACGAGTCTTTACCTGGCTGCGAAGGTCCCTTCTGAAAAGGCTGCGATTCTTTCCACTTGAAGACGCGTTAATGCTTTGTCCGCTACGCTGGTGTTGGGTTTGGTTCTGATAGTTCCTTTGTTGATGTCGTCAATGAGATGCTTAATCCTAAACCCTAAAACCCTGAACCCTAAGCCCCAAACCCTAAAACCCTGAACCCTAAGCCCTAAACCCTAAAACCAAGAACCCTAAACCCTAAACCTAAGTCCCTAAACCTTGAGGCTGGCTGCTGCTTGCAGTGGTTTGAAGCCGGCGCTCGCGTGGCAGACGCTTTTGAACGGAAGTGTGTTGTTTAACCAAGGCCCTCCCAGTACCCTTGATTGGAGGTCTAAAGGAGTTTACAGGAAAAACGGAGAATCAAACGGACAAGAACTTGAAAAAGAAACTGGGACGAGATAAGGCTGGCTTAATAAAAGACTTGGCGACAAGACCCTCCGAGACCCCACATTGGGGAACTGGGCCCTAATAGTGGGTACCTAGGCCTGCGTTCTTTGGCCTGAAAAGAGGGTAGGTGCAGGATCTATGCTATTAGTCAGGGATGAGCGGCGGGAAGCAGTTTAGGGTTTGGGCTATGGTTTTGGATCTCGTTGGAGGAATGATGGGGAGTTCCGTCTTAGTCTTGCGTTCCCCCCTGCCTGTGGACACATTGGTTTCTGCCAGCTTCTGTCAAGCTCCCGCGCTACTGCCTCGGGATTCCAGCAGAACTAAAGCAGAGTAACCCCAAACCATGTTGACATTCTGTGCACCATGAACGCAACAACAACGACAACAACGAGGAGGGCGAGATCACACGCTCCCCCCCAAAACACTTGCTTTGGCTTCTTGTGCGTTGCCTGGCTTCAAGTAACAACGGTTTCATGAATCTGAGACAGCCATTGCTAGCAGCTTCAACAGCCCTAAGGAGCGCGAGCTGTCATCAGATACTGGCGACCTGGAGGCTGGCACCACATCAAGTGTGCATAGAACTCAGGCGATTGCCCAAAGAGACCCGTGTCCCAAAAGGCCTATGTTCCATTGAGAAGCAGCTTCATGGAAGCCATACTTGTCAGGCGGTGGCTTATTAGGGTCAGGATTGGAAGCTTGGGTGTGGACTACAAAAGGCTCCTCATGATACTGCCGACCAAGACTTGCAGCTTCCTGCAGGGGCTTGAGTTAGAAGTAGAGGGACTAGTGCAATCCTTTGCCGCGACAGAATCATGTCCAAGGGTTACGGAGTCAGACCATACACAATCCATCATCTCCCTAGAACGATGTACCTCAAGAAGACACTTCATCTTCGCTGCCTTAGACGGTTTTTCATATGAGTCATAGTCTAAACGTCTAGTATCCCCCTTAATAACCCCTGTAGTAGGTCCCTATATAATCCCCTATATAACCCCCCTTTAAGGAGTTTAGATTATGGTTCATATAGTGATGGCCTTGCGGGTCTTGAAGCGGCCTTTATGAGGAGGATGGAAGCCTTGCAGTAGAAGCACTCTCCCCACTGGACCATTACAGGTAACCTTTAGGACGCAACTCCATCAAAACGAAAGTTCAGACAGGGCCCCAGCAAGGATCCTTATCAAGGTTTCTTTCGAAGCCCAGGCAACAACACGCAAGCCTCTGGATCATCATGCCCCTGCTCCCTGAAGCCATAAAGCACCGAAAGCTTGCACAAAATGTGGGGAGCCCCTATGCAAAGATCCTCGGGGCTTGTACACTTGTAAATGTAGTTTAGATTCGCCAGCCTCTGATCTGCGCAACAGTTTCTGAACTGGTTCAAACCAGAAGCTCCCTTAGGCTGCTTATGCCCAGCGGAGGCAACAAAGCTGAGAGTATGTCCGATTTTCATGCTGGCTAAACGAAACAGATACCAAATTCGCGCTGTACTTGGGAAGTCCCAGTGCTGGCATATGCTGGCATGTGAGTGTGTCCCAAAATTTGGGGGCAATAAGGATTACACTATTTGGACGTTGCAGTGCCGTGAACCCTAGACCCCAAACTCTGGACCCTGAACCGCAAGGTTCGTGCCCACTTCGCTGGGGCCTCTGGATTCGATGAGGGTTTACAGGCACAACCGTCTTCTTGGCTTTTGGCTTCAGCTGCATCGGGTTTTCTATCAGGGTTTAGGGTTTAGGGTTTTGTTTAGATCGCTCAAAGCCGGGTTGAAAAGGGTTTTGTTTAGCACATACAGTTGTACACATATAGTTGTATAGAGGTACAGTTGTGAAGGATTCTCATCAATTACCCTAGTCGCGTTCCATCAGGATAGTAGGCATGCTTATGTGGACGGGCTGGAGGACTTGGTAAGTAGGTCAATAATGGGGACAGGTATGGCCACCATGTGGGTCAGAAGGGTTGTCAACCTATTCACTAATTCCCCCTGACCCTCCAAGCATGCCTATGAAACAGCAAGCCTTTTCCAAGAGGACTGCGGAGCTTGGCGTCGCAATGGGAGCGGGTTGGGCTTTGCATATACTACATGTTGAGGCTTTGTGCATGGCTCGGCCAGGTCAGTCACAAAGTTGAGTCTTCCCGTGCTTACCAAATTCTTGTAGAGCTAGTATTTCGACTAGTGGTGCAAGAAGCCTGCAGCCACAGATTGGTTACGTGGTGCGACACTGAACTCTGAGCCTCATGAGCTCGAAGGTCTCGTTGCCAAGGTCGCAGACCGCTTCTCTGCTGCGGTTTCAGAACCTTGAAGCTGTCAATGGCAAAATTCTGAATTATGAATCCCTACTTTCGCACCCTCACCCCGCCACAGCAGCCCCCCTTACCAACCTTAGTGACAAAGGGGTCTTCGAACTAGCAGCCAGAACCAGAAATTGAATTGTTCAAGTTCAGACCTTCATAAAAATAAAGTCATAAAGCTTGCTCGTGAGGCCGCCATGTCTCTAAACCCTAAACCCTACACTCCTAGCAGGCACTTCTGTTCCGGCTGCCTGTGACGGCTGCGCAGAGGATGGGGTTGGGGTTACGTGTTTTCTGAGGTTTGCAGTGCACTTCAGGATTGTTTAAAGTCAGGCCTGCGGTCTGTTCTGCTTTCAGGATGCAGCACAGCTACTACCAGCATGGGTTTCTGTTAGTCTAGACTACCCTTTGCAGATCGGTCGACCGCCTGATACAGAATCAATGTTGTTTGCAGGTTCCTCGGACTTTCGACGAGTACTGGCTGCTAGGGCCCTAAGCGTACTTGTTTGCGAACACCTGCAAAACCAGTAGCCGACTTGTTGGTATGTAGGGCTCTCCTCTCCCCCTCAATGGGCTCTTTTGTAGTTTGAGTGTATTGAGTCTTTGCGCACCTTTTAACGCCAGCAGTTGGGAGGAAACTGCGTTTGCCAACTATTTCCTCAGCAAGTTCATTTTCATATGCATGCACAAGGGTTAGCACCATGAGGCTCCTAAAGCAACGTAGCTTTGAACATCGAATTAACAAAACATTGGAACTGAGATTTGAAGGCATGAGCTGATCGAGAAGCTGGCTGGACAAGGCATCTACAAGCGGTCTCAGCTGGAGTATGGCGAGTTCAAGGACCAAACAGCAATTGTCCAGTTGAAGCACTAGTGGCGCTTGCAATCTTTAGAGGGCAATGCGACGAAAGATGTTAAGATCAATTCTATTGATGCGGGGAGTATAGTGTAGCTGGCACTCTTGTATTTCGAAGCAGCAGCCCTCAGGAGCATCTGCAGGGTTATTTGCAGGCCCGAAAATGGAAATACGTTGGGCTCCTTTGCGACACCCTAGGCTTACCACTGTCCCTATGCATGCTACTAGTTGCAAGTTGTCAGGCAGCTGAATATCTGTTGAAGAATCACACGGCATGCGCTGTGCCTGAATAGTAACAATGACCTTTGGCTTAGATCCCATTCTCTCTGCAGTCCCGAGGATGTTGGAATGTAGGAAAATGGTGGAGAAGGGGATGGGCAATGCCTTTTCAAAACAGTCTCAGCAGTTGAGCTCTTGGCTTCTGCGGCAGGACACCTTAGAAGACTTTGAGGCCGTCGCACGAAAGATGTTTGAGGATGAGCAGGAGCGCCGCACGCACAACAGCCCCTCCTCTTATTCCTCACCAGATTCTTCCAGTGCTTGCTGATACCACGTGACCGCCAATCGTGGAACATGAACATTGTCACGCACCCCAAGATCACCTAGGTCCTCTCCATCGATTCCTTGGGCCATCAAGTAGTAGGTGCAACAGACAAGCCCATGCCATTGTAATGTCCGGACATGTTAGGATATTTGTTCAGATCTCTGCCAGCCTGAATACATGAGGTCAAATGAAATTAGCAAACTGCAACCCGCGCAAAACAACAGTTGCATGTAAAACTAAATCACAAGCTTGAGCTCGTGACCCCTGCATCGTATACATACCAAACCACGACCCCCAGGCCGAGAACCGCGTGTGGCACTGAATCCTCCTGACCAGGCAGCGGCCAAGAGGGACAATCTGCGGAGAAGCCAGCCAAACCAGGCACCCAAGAAAGGCTTTTTCGACCCAAGAAAGGTTTTTGAGACGCGTCATTAAGAAGCTTCTAGGGTGATTATGAAGCTTGCACATTCCCAAGTTCAAGAATGTAGCAGTTTAGGTTTGGATCGTAAGAGCGGCTTTGGACTCACTCTCCCACCTAAAAGCTCTGCAGGAATAAGTGTACAGGAGTCGAATAAACTATTGCTGACTAGCTTGGATTTTGCAAACAGCCTGTAGACGGGATACGGAACTAAGCGCAGGAGATTCTGTGCCAAGAGTCGGGGAGGTGAACGCTTCGCTGCTTTTGTCGTGGGTCCAAGCCCTTTCCACGTTTGGCAGTGGGGCATGAGTCTAGAGCTGTATAATTGTAACTTATGAATTATGCAGCCCGACTGCTAATGGGGTTATATTAGGGTTATATTCGGGTAATATTCGGGTTATATTGGGGTTAAATTGGGGTACTTATGAAGGTTGTCACAAAAGATGGTGCTGTAACAAGCGTATCGCTACCAACATCGAGAATTTTGTCCTCTTATTTTGTTCTGGTAGTGTCCAGCTACGCTACCACGCATCCCCTTTGAAAAGTACAGCCGCGGTTTGAGCAAGGCTGCCACTGACTACTGTACCAGATAAGCGCGACCACAGCTGCAACCTCCTGCTTGTTTCTTCTACAGTAGTGAACCTACTAGAGCGGGTATCCTAGTATAATCGGGGTCTCGATATAGTTGTCCCCATGTTGAGAACATGTAGGCCAAGTCCCATGTATCTTCGCTTCCCTGCAGATCCAGCGGCACGACGTGATGCAAGATCAGCTTAATGAGAACGGTGCCGCGCAGCAGGCCTAGATCCAATTGGGGGCTAAAAACACTCAAGGGGGGAATTTGCGGCTTAGAAGCCTTGAGGTTATCGAAATCTGAACCACCAGGAATCTGCTGCTGTAAACGCATTGCTTTTGCTAGGAGGCAGGTCTGAGGTTCGGGATTGGGAATTGGTGGCAATAGCATTCGTGACAGGCGACAGGCGGGATGACGACGGTGATCATGCACTTCCGCCCTTTTGTGCCGGACATGCAAAATTTTACCATGTTCGTCTGTCACATACTCAAATGGTAGTTTCCCGAAATAGGGGGACCCCAATATAGACAGTCCTTATCATTGGGACCCCCCAAAAAGGTACTCCCAATTTTGGGAAACCCCCAAATACTACACATAGGCGATCCCTGACAAGGCATCGCAACAACTCTCTGGCCAGCTCGAGTGGCTCACCAAACAGGCCGAAAAAGAAGGCTGGACCATCTCGCGAGATTGAAGATTGCAGGGGTCTTGCAATTTCGACCAGGTTCCAGCTGCGAGGTCACAAGGATGAAGCTACCGCTAAAGCCTAAGCCCCTAAACCCCTGAACCCTAGGGTCACAGGGATTAAGGTACCCTTGAACCCTAAACCCCTACTGTTCCTCTTCGGCGGTTTGCACCGTGCTCCAAGCCAGCTGCACTGCTGTAGTCTTGAGAAGCTGTGGTGGAAGTATCCTAACCTCGCTAAAAACATTGCTATTCTCATTGTTACTAGTTGGAAACTAGTATTTTACCAGTATTACTATTCGTACTATCCCTAGTAGTACTAGTATTAACGAAATTTACTTCTTTGTTATTCCATGTATGACTGTTGTTAGTGCATCTGCACCAGAACGAGCCCCCAGATGGCGGATACTCGATGGCTTTCATGATTAACAGAGGGACATTCCCCGTCCCACGTCCAGCTTCCGCTATGCAGAATCATGGGAGTTTCCCAAAAATAGGTGTACTTTTTCTGGGGTCCCCATAGTAAGGATTATAGTACTTGTGGCTTATATTGGGGTCCCCACTCAATGTTACAAGCTACGACTCGGGTCAAAGTGCAACGTCTCAGTCATGTTCACCGTCTACAGGAACAGTAAATCTAAGGATAATCCGAGTCAAGCCGAGATATGGCTCTAAGCTACATTTTCTGAAGCTTGAAGCCAAAACCCTACCAGGTCTCAATGTTTAGGGTTAACTGAGAGCTAACCTGATGCTTCAAAAGGCTGTGCCATCCCGATACCACTCACAGTGTCATTATAGCATATTATGGTGTATTAAGACTGGCGCAATTTCTTCACTCCTCCATGGCCTCAAATCCTGCCTCAAAATCTGACACCCCAAAACAACATGTGTTTAAGCCGGCAGACATTGGTGAAGCCTTGGGATTTATTCCAGGTAGGTAGATTCTGTGGGAGCTATGGTAAAGGTTTTCCGGGTTCATTTTCATATGCAGATGTTCGAAGACGGTATGGCATTGAAAGTACTTGTTTCTCATCCCCATACATGTACCCAAAACAGCCCAGGCTGCGACTTAAAGCTTAGTTGCATTTGCTGTGTGTCAGTATCGGCTGTCACAGGGTTTGGACAGCCCTTGGGGATAGATCCCTGTAGCCACAGCCCCTGAAGCCTAAAGCCTAAACCATCAGGACACCACAGGCTCAAAGAGAAGACCAACGCATCTGGGCACAAGTGTGTGTTTGTTTGCGTGCGCTCATGGGTGTGTCATGCAATTGAGGATTTGCAGTTGAGATTTCCAGAGCATTCAAGGGAAGCAAGGGCTCAGGGCTCTTTGTTTAGCATTTCTATGTGACTGCCTGCAGCTGCGAGTGCAATTGTTTAGAATATGATGACTAGTCATCCTCGAGTCGGGCTCTAAAACGCAGAAACTGTTGCCCCCAAATCTTGAGCTGATCGGGTCGGGATCCTGTCCCTGAATGCTGGACATGGAGACTGGGTCTGTGTAGAGGGAGCGACTCTGCGGCTTCTCTCCCCTCTTCTGGATTTACACAGGTAAAAGTCGTTCCTGCAAAAAGACAGAAGAAGCCCGAAACATTGATCCTGATGGGGTCTTCTACATTTATTGGACCCCCAGCTTACAAGGGGTGGTAGAATAGGAATGTCAATCACCATTATCCCTTATAGGCACTATTTCCGGGTGGGGGGTCCCACTAGACTCTACATGTACGGCGGATTTCCATTGAGGCAAAACATTCCAATCCACCCTGCGCTTTGCTAAGCCGACTCCAACCCTGCAGGCGTGAGGTAAGGGTATCCACCCTGAACCCTTAATGGGTGTAGGGAGTACACAGGATATAGGGATACTATCCCAAAATCATGGAACATACATGGAATATTGAATGGAAATTGTGTCTATGTAGAAGGCCTCTCAGGCTGGTCTATTCTTTCGGTTGTTCCACACCTTCCCTCGCTCCACTTCCCCCCCTATTTCATGTCTGCAGGTCCAAAATGTGAGTGACAAACTCACCCCACATCTTCCAGCCGGGTCATACCGGCAGAGGGACCACTCTATATGGCTAACGTAGAGTTGCATCGTGTGGTGGTGCATCACAAGAAATTTTCGCCTTCCCCTGCATGGTACCGCTAGTCTTTTTCAGCAATCCTCGCTCTCACCCTCCGGGGCCCTGTGCGTTCAAGCTGCTAGGCTGGTGTTGTGTTCTCTGTTTTTGCTTGCTTGGGCAGTCGTCATAAAAATGTCCGCAAATTACCACAAGTGACGGGGACATATCTGGCTGCATCACGGTTGCTTCCTGCAACACTGGGCAGTCCTTACATATGGCTAAGCCAAGCGCCAAGGAGATGCTCAAGACGTTGCAATTGAAGATCGAGCCCTCTCTCCGACAACAGGCATGACGGCTGACATGAGCAACATACGTCAAGTAATCTCAAGTATACATACCCTAAACACTCCGCAGGAAGTTCATTTGGCACCGTATGTCTTTGGAGCGGCTGTAAAGATTACGCTAGTATTCGACGAATAGTGTTTTTCCACTAGGGGGTTTGCACATGACACAGGATGCATCCTGCCAACTCTCGTGCTTCTTTTCCTCCATCCCATCTTCTTCGTTTGCCCATGCAGTTTACTGCTGCAAGCAGGCTGACAGCTGAATGCCCAGAGAGCATGCAGCAGCCCCCTCATTGAGACACTGCAACACCTTACCCCAAATGGCGTTGTGGCTCAGGCAAAGCAAATCACCACAGACCTTCAGGCCACAGATGTCGCAGATGCGGATGAGTGCCCCTGCTGCAGCTTTCTCCTCATTGCTTGTTGCAACTGTAGCTGTTTTTGTTGTAGCCGTGGTGCTGGTGCTGTTGGTGCTGTTGCTGGTGCTGGTGCTGCCCGTGGTGCTAGTGGCGGCGGCGATCCCAAGTATACTCCTGGAGACCCTGAGAATACGCAGTTCTGCAACGCGTACTCAAAAACTCGAGGAGGCATGGTACTCATGAACCCCCCCAACATGAAAAGTCTTTCCCAACCAGCGTCTACAGCTTGTGGATGCAAGTGCTGAAGGCTCTACAGCAGAGATCTCGCATTCTCGCAAATTAATTGCGATTACTCTTACTATCACTAGTACCATTACTACGTTTAACTATTGATATCATTTCTGCTATGGTTGTCCTTGTTCTTATTGCTGTCATTATGACTATTGACTATCATGCTTTACAACCAGCCTGAGCTGCGGGTACTTCTCTTTGACACATCAAACACGTGTTTGCCCCAACGCCGCAATCTCTGTCCATGAAAGTTCCACTGTCTTCAGCTATTTCGTAAAGCCCGGCCAGTGCACAAGTGCCAAGAGGTTTTTTGACTTCATGCGGGCATGCCAGAAGTGAGAACTCCCAAAGCACAAGCTCTCAATCCATCCCAAAGCTTTGAAGCCCTTGGCTGCAAGTGGTGTCAAGGAGAGCAGGAAAATTGGAGTTCAAGGAAGTCAGATCCGGCGGCCGCGCGATGCACTAGACAGGGTGTTTGCCTGTCTTCTCACTGAGCACTGTTCTTGAAGTAGGCCTATGCCTATTCAGGCAGCACATCAGATGGCTGAGGGCTTGTAACTTGCAACTCATTTGTAGCCCTTTGAAAGAGATCCTCCAGCAGGAGCTCTGCGAAGGCAAGCTGTCCTAACGACTATACAAGTTCTTCAAAACTCCACGAAACTGTCCGTCGTATGCGCGCCAGCCAGCCACCCGGAAAAGTGAATGCTAGAGGTTTGGGTATATTACCTAGAGAGCTTGTACATGGCATCTAGACAATCCTTCGTGAATGCAGGTACCAGCGCATGTTAACTTTGAGCTTCAGGCCTCATTGAGCAAGCACGCTGAAAGTGTTTGAGGCACTGAAGGTCAGTAGGGAAACGGTGGCGGCAACAATGGAATCCAGAGCGGGACAGAGCTATCTGGTATTTGAAATCTAGAAATTGCGTCTGCTATACAGGCTCCCAAGCTGGGAAGAATATCCCTAAGCCCCCAACACGGATCTCAGCAAGTGTGAGCCCATATCAAGTGTGGCCGCAATGTGAGGAACCGTGAACTTGAAAGACCTTTCTGAGCGGCTTGGCCTCTTCCGTGGACTGGACCTCTACGGTGCTATTGGTGACGTGTTTCGGCCGCAGCTTTGCAGGGAGTCCGGGAGAGGGAAGTTCGGACTTCAGTGTAGGATTTTTGTTTAGGGCCTTCCGTTCAGCAAGCGGAATGGAGGCCGATTAGGGGGTTGGGTTTGGTGCTTCCGTTTGCACAAGTCGGGCTGTGAAAGGTTAGAATTTATTGGACTACAGGGAGTGAGTTTTCAGCGAAGTTTGTAAGCACGCAGGTTCCAGAATTCTGGTAATCTCATATGTTGGACAGGAGGGCGCCTTCTCATACTGGCTCCACTATGCTAGCCTTGTCAATACGCCTTCCACACTGCGGACTTCATGAGAAACCGTGCCATCTGCAAAGAATGCAGAGACTTCATCCTGTCATTTACGCATGCAGGCGAGACAGCATACAACGCAACCTGGTGCGCGGTACTGGCAGTGTTGGATGTCCATATACATGTATGAGACATCCCAGCATTGAATCAGCTTTCATTCGTGGTGCGTAGTTCAGTGGCATCATGCCCCTGGCCGCAAAACACGCAAACCCGAAAAGTTAACACCCAAAAAACACAACATCCTTAGCCGCAAGCAACCTGAGACTATGAAGAGCCCCGTGGTTGAAGTCAAGACTGACGAGTCCGCCGCCTTTGACTCCATGGTGCCTTTGATTCCGGACCCTAGCAGAATAGAGAACGGCTTTGAGAATAGCAGGTCTGAGGAAAGCACGGGACGCGCTTGATTGTGATTCCGGTGCAACGTCAAGCGTCAAGGCGTGCAAGTTAGTAGCACTGCGGGAAAACCTATTTCTTCATGGTCTTTTGCAGGGTCTGTTTGCACGACCGCACGACAAAGAGCTGTTGGAGGAGAGTATACCGAACATTAGCAGCAAGAGCACAAAAGTAATCGAGCTGCCATCAGTACAGAAAATTCCGACCGTAAATAATAAAGCGTTACAACAACGGGCCTGTGGCGCAACTACCCGCAGGACGAGGAGACATCTGAGATGACCGTGCAGTGTGAATCCGCACAGGCAGAGCCATTTTGGATTCCGGGTGCAGGCTTGGGATTGGGCAAAGATTCAGGCAGGGCTACATTTGATATTTTTTGGGCTTCTCAAAACAGAGGCACTTTTGCGGGCATTGAGGGACTCAAGCACACTTGCAGGACACTAGGGCGCCTTGAATTCAAAAGATATCGAAGGGATATTTGATTACACCGCCCTCATCTGCATGTGCTTATGTCCTTAGTGGGACAGGACTACCTACAAACCCTTGCAGATCCCAACTCTTCACCCTCCCGACGCCGCAAAGATAGACCTCAAACTGGGAACCTGTGAGACGAAAGCATGTGGCGAACGGGGTTTAGAGTCATCACTCCGGGCGCATTTTTCGCATTAGAGCATGGGCTGGGCTCAGCTGGGTAAGCCCCTGGTGAATTTCTATTGGTTTTCCCTACTAGCTTTAGTAAGGGACCCTATATACGCATATTTTTCAAAAGGGTTTTAGGAGCCAACCCAGTCAGCTTTTGCAGAGGTTAACAGTGGGCCTTTGCCCCCTTTCCTGCTTGGGGCTTTGCTATTTTGGGGTTCAGTCGGCCTGGGTTTGGGCACGAATGGGGGCTGTCACATGAAGAGCGGCCGCATTGGAACCTTTCGCTGCTGTACGGCCACGCAAGTGGCAAAACTCCAAACTTAAAACTCGAATCTCTAATCCTCGATCCCTAGAACCGGGAGCGTGCACAACCTCAAATGCACCAGCTGTAATTCATCTTGTTGGAAGCCTCAGAGAATCCTGGTCTCTATGTGTAGCTTCCTTGCTCAATGAACTCTCTATACATGATGCCCATCCCCTTTTGAGCCTGGAAGGATTCCTTAGCAACCCTGAGAAGCCCTGTGCAAAGGGGTACCACCACTACAAACATGGCAAGGGGAACCAAGACAGAAACGTGGAACGAAGATCCTAGACCCTTAACCTTACTTGGAGGGTCAGGGGGACTTTGCAAGTAGGTTAAGAATCCCTATAACCCATACCGTAACCCCATTTCCCTTGTTAACCTACTTACTAAGTCCCCCTGACCCTCCAAGCGAACCATGCCTCTGCAAGCCCTGATCCAGTGAAGATAAAGGGCTATTTTTTCGGGATCTCTGAAGCATCCACCCCAAAGTGACAAGAATGAAGGCCATGTCCAGCGTTGAGCGGTGTCTCAGCTTGAGTTTTCTTGCACCACAATTTTAGTGAAGGACCTCCTACCATTTCACGGCGGTTTCATACGGGCTCCAATCATCGGAAGTTGCAAGTGTTGTAAATATTCACACATGCTTTTCCCCTTGCCTGTTCGCGAGCGCTAATCTACTTTTTCCTTGTCTTTCCTTGGCCTGTGTATTCGCTGCACCAATCGTCAATTTGGGCCTTGCTTATCGTCTTTTGCTTGCTTTCCTATGTTTGTAGAGTGTCCGAAAAGTTCTCCTCCCAGACCTGAATTTACCTAAGCTTTCCTAAGTTACGCTTTGCTTTCCGTGCTGAGCCGGCGACGTTAGTGGAGTCACTCCGACAAGTTCTTGCCAAAAGCTTTACGAAGATTCTCGGGAAATCCAGAAACATCCACCAGAATGTAAGTTGAATGCTGAAAATGTTATGGAGGGGTCCTAAACAGGGTATACGGTACATATTCTTCTTGAGCCGTAACCTTGACAAGAACAACCTTTCTCATTCGCAGACATACCAAGGGGTATGCATACCTGGCCCATTGTTTAAACATATCAACACCCTGTATGCCTGAAAGGTTGAGGACGGAAGGATGGTCAAAGGTGCCTCCTTGCACCTCAAACCTGCCTTTTCAAGTTTTCTGTTTCCTAACCCTCCCCAAATCCCTAATCTCAAACCCTGTCCCTGCATGAAGTGGGCACCCCTGCACGCCCCATTCAGGTTCGTTGCCACCTGGGGCACCTCCTCCTTCGACAGCACTCGCAGTGAGCCTTTGACGTCCCAGTGGGAGATAGCTAATTGAGAGTTTAAGGCTTCGCTTGGGGCACTTACTAAGGCATGGGGTGCACGGTTGTTAAATTAAACCTGTTGAACCCATGTGTGTTTTTGCTGTTTGGTCTTTTTTGTTGTTGGGCCCCTTAAAGCCGAGCAGACCGATGCCGTCCCAAACAGCAAACAAATAAAACGTGCCCCTCCCAAACAGCAAAAACATAAAGATGCCTTCTCCCTTGTCCGCCCAAACAGCCAGAAAAACAACTCAACCCCCCCCCCCAACAGCAAAAAAAAAACACGCCCTCTCCCCGGCCCGCCATGTATTTTGTTTTGCTGTTTGGGCGGGTGCGTGTTTGTGTTTTTTGCTGGTTGGGCGGGGGCCATGCCCAACCAACAAAAATAGAGCACGCCCCCGCCTAAACAGCAAAGAACAACCGGAAAAACCCAAACAACAAAAAAAGACCAGACAACCAAAAAATGAACACTCCTCCCGGCAATCAACCAGTACTCGTCGCGACACTGAAGAGAACCAGAAGCGACTACGAGGGGTTGTTATCCCCTCGTCTTGAGTGTTCAAACCTTGCACATCCTGCCCGAAGCTAGATTCCTGCACTTGGCCCTGCAGGTGTAGCATGGTGGTAGGTAGTCGTCAGACCCCCAACTTGCGCAACTCCGAACCGCCACAGCCTAGCCCAAGGAGCTCAATGCCGCAATCAGCGCTTCCGCGCTGGGTGCCGAGTTCGAATTCGGCGCCTTTGGCAACAGCTCGAGGGCCGTGCTTTGGGTCCAGGATGTGTAGCCTAGGCCACTCTAGGATTCTGGTCCGTCTTTGGGCGAAAGCTTAAGGTGAAGATGCAGGGGTAAAAATTGTCACAAGCACTTGCACACATAGGTGATTGGGCATCTGGCACTAGGTTGCAGGGTTTTCTCCGTGCCTTACATCAATGGCGGTACGGCAGAGTAAACCCAAGCCGCTAAGGTAAGGTCACAGGGTGTAGGAGCCCGGCCAGGCAGTTACGAAGCTTAACTCGAAAGGACATGGGCGGGATGCATGGAACAAGGACATAGGATCCGGGGTTTTATAGTTCATGTATCATAGAGATCAGGGAGCATTTTGCCCGCTTCATTGGCTGGCATGAGCAGCTCCTCTCTAAACGCTGAACCCTAAACCGCTAAAACGTTAACCCGAGCTTCCACCCTCCAAAACTCTTACCTGGAAAAAGCCAGTAGCCCATAATCATGGTTCACTGCCCCCTAATTTCCTCCCACCTTGGGTTGAAGCCTACACCCCTAAATTGGGTTGCTGTTCAGGATCTGAAATTTGTTACTAGAATACGGAAACCCTGACAACTGTATCTATCCATACTCTGGCAACTGAACTCAAGTTCCTTAACAGCAACCCAGTCTGTACAGTCATGCTTCGGCCCCTCCAATCTGCATGGGGATACCGCAACACTTGGACTATTTGGACCTATTCAGGCGTGCAAAGTCAAGGGTTTAGAGCTTGAGCAACCCAGTAAACCGTAAACCGGTGATTGATAAACCCCTTCCTTTTAAGGGCCTCAATATTAGGATCTCTGTTTGGAAAGAGGCTTATTAATCACAGGCCCTAAAACCCTAAACCCCATTCTTTTTGGCAACCAGGCTTTCCAGGTAGACGCTCGGATTCGGCCCTTAGCCACTTTGAAAGGGCAGGCCCAGACTTTAAGAAGCCCCGGGCCTTCAACCCCAGTCCCTACCCCCTACTGTGGAGTGATACAAGGATTACATAGGGATATGATCCGAAAAAGGAAAATCAGATGGAAAACCCTATAAACTTTAGACCGGAACCGGTATTATCTTAGTCCCTTGATACAAGAACGCGGTGCGCCAAGGTGGAAGCTACAGCAACGACCCAAGGCTGTTTTAGGCTTCGGGTTAACGTTTTCAGGTTTGGGGTCTAAGGTTCGGGGTCTAGTTCAGTGTTTAGGGTTGGGATTTAGGGCTTCCAGTAGCAGATTCCATGGAAAAAGCGTACTCGGCTTAGAGTTTATGATGTTCAGTGACAGATGTTGTGGATTCCAGTGCTTCTTGTCTGTAGCCAACACCTGAAGTATACCTCATCTGAGCTGCAGCTTAGGAAAAGAGCAAAGGCAGAAGCAGCACCAAGCAGGACTCCGACACCAAAGTGCCTCACTCAGAGATAGGGTTTAGGGTTTGGGGGGCGGGGAGGGGGGATGGGGGTTGTGCGGGACGATGGGTCAGCATCCTTTCAGAAACTCATTAGACACCAAAGTGCCTCACTCAGAGATAGGGTTTAGGGTTTGGGGGGCGGGGGGGCGGGGATGGGGGTTGTGCGGGACGATAGGTCAGCATCCTTTCAGAAACTCATTAGAGGGGCCCTGCTTTTGGCTTCCCTTGCTGCAGCTATCGGCGTATCAGATCTTCCTTCTGAAGCTTTCAACCCTGAATCTGGAAGCCACATCCGAGGAGAAGAATAGGGAGACAAAAACCTTCCAGAAGATCCGATACTACAGCGAGCCCAGAGCACTGGTCAAGAGCCTTTGGCTTGTCTTCAGGTCTACAGATTTGCTTGTGCAGTCTGGGGCTTGAAAAGGAAGGTAGTAGGGACTGATTGTGATGTCTTGCGGATCGGGCTTCCGGGCCTTTACCGGGGCTAAGCCCTCCACAGCCCTGAGCCCCCAATCGCGTCGCAGGGCCTTTGCCAGGAAAGAGGATGTCCCAGCGTGTGACATCCTAAATAGTAGTTTCCAGGTTCTGTTCCATTATCTCTAGATACCTTCCAAAAAACCTATATAGCCTCTATAGAACCCTATATAGCCCTTATAGTCCCTGTATAACCAGCAAATCGTAAACCCTTGATGTTTAGATTCATAATTTTCGGTTGGCAGCCTGGCATGCCACTATATAGGCCTGTATCTGGACAGTTATGCAATTTGTTAATTTGTATATTATGGGTTCAATTTTTGGGGTAAAGTTAAGGCATTTGGCACAATCTTGACATGCCTTTGGCAGGAGGGTCTAGGGGGGTGGGGTGTCCCTTTTACACAGTGTCGTATACTTGCTATTCTTTTCGGCGCCCGTTTGTCAACGTTATTTAGCAAGACATGCATTGGAAATCCTGTGGCGCATTTCTAGCGTACCAAGGATTCCACCTGAGATGTTGGAGCCGACTGAGGCCTCCCCGTTGCATCTTTGCATATATGCACTTGTACCTGCGAACAGGAGATGGGCAAACCTTGGTGTGCCATTCCGGAGTACGCAGCAAGATTGTCAAGCTCTCTACCTTGGATCCTTCAAGGGGCTGTTGAAGCTTCAAGAAGATTATTCAGGAATTCAACTGGTCTGAGAGCCATCGCTCCGCCCACGCGTTGAGAATTTACCGGGCATTTTTTCGAAGAGGTTTGGGGAATGGAATGCTCAAATAGTTTTCTGGTACCGCCTTTATTGGGCCACAGGATTGCGAGGAGATTAGATGCGCTGCTTCCTTGCCAAAATCCTTTAAGTCTGAATCTGGTAGCAACATGCCCTGGAAGGCCTTTCGGACGGCTCTGAGAGACGCATCAAATGAAATCAAACGGGTGCAGAAGTCTCATCCAGATCCTGGACACCGGACGCCTTTGAGAAGGAGACTTCGCAGAATTTCGTTTTAGCTTTTTACAAGTTCAGTTTGTTTACTGCGACAGGGAGACTTAGCATGTAGGAACCCGCTTCGACAACCCCAAGTTAGTAGATCAGCAGCCAAGGCAAAACTTACGCAAATGGGATGATGAAGCGCAGGACAGGCTGTGGTGAGAGGGCTTCGCGGCATTTAAACAGTGGACCTTTTGGCATGCTAAGCCCGCCTCGAACCTCCAAATCAAGGATCTTCTCTGCACAGGGGATGGTTTACTTTTTGGTGGAGTAGTTTGAGGACGAGCAAGGAAGGTTTTCAGAACCAAAACGGAACAACCTTGCTCTGTTGGCATTCCACTTCTATTTGCACATCAGCATGCTTCATGTGCAGTTCCATTGCGGGTGATTCGCAACAGTCCTAAGCGCGCCGAAATTGGTGGGCACTACGGCACTACTGCTTGTCATCAGCTGTTGCCCCGGAAGCCTGATGATGAGGTCGAAGACCGCCAAAATCGTAGCATGAGGCACTACATAGCCCTGCCGCAGCATCCAACATGCAGCTCGAGGGGCATCACCACAAGAACGATATCGCTATGGCGCACGGGATGTGGATGTCTCTGTAGGTATGCGGCGCTTGGTATGCTGGGCGGGTGTACAGGACATATGCTTGTGAACCTTGCGGGGGGTTGGAGAAACGAACATCGAAGATCTTGTATTTCGTCTGGGCACATGCCTGGCTCTTCAGGTTGCTGATGCCGTGATGGCTTCTTAATCTTTGTGAGCCGCAATCTGCCACTCCCACCCCCATTCCCTCGACTGCCACCGCTCTCATCACTCCTACCCCACTGCTCCCACTTCAGTTACTGTTCCAATCCCGAGACAAAGCTACCCCACACACCCAGTAACCACACATACTCTATTATCCTTAATTCATTGAACTTTCGACCCGTAACCGTAAAGATCTCAAGCCATAGCTGGAACGTTTAGTCCGAATCCAGAGGAGCTTCGCACGATCGTGACGCCCATTCTTGAAGAGTTTGGCTCCCACATTTGCACCAACGTCCTCCTCGGAGGATATTGGAAGGTCAAAGCCAAGCTCCTCGGCTTCTCATGACTCTAAATGGCTGTTATTGACAGTGTAGTGTCTTCCGTCAGTTGCTTTATCCATAAACCCTAGCACTAAACTACAGCGTGGGCTGTGAGGGAGGTTCAGGAACAGTCGTTTGGCATGCGTGGAGGATTGGATGGGTTGTTGCAGTGTCAAAGGTCTGGGGATTGAGCGCTCAAATGTCGGAGTAGGGCTTCAGAGCTTTTTTTGGGTGGAATGCGGCTGTCCACCATCTTGTTCGGGGTTTGCTTGCAAATCTGGAAGATGTTTTGGCTGTGGAACTTTATTTTAGCCCGTCTAGAGTATGTAGGACACAACAAGATCCTTGCAAGGGGCTTGCTGTTCCACAGCTTGGCTACCTGGACCCCAAAGCAGGTCTGGCGACAAGATTCCAATTCTGCATTCTTTTCTAAGGGGCCTGTGTACGACTTCTTCTATTATTATTGCTACCCTTATAAAAATTACTATGGTTATACTATTCTATTATAACAAAACCATTACTATCGCTATTATTATTCTTTTTATTATGTTTGTTGTTTTTTCTGGTAATGTGCCGCAACTTCACAGCCCCTAGGCACTACCAACCACAAAAGTGCTCTACATCCCTATGCTCATGTTTGTGGACCTTTTTTGCCTGGCAGGTTCTCCAGCGATTCCAAGACTTCTGTGAACGAAGTGTGCGCAATGGCCACTGAGGCCAATGAAGCACGGTTCAGGGGTCTATACAGCGCTCAGTGCGAAGGTCCAGGGTTAAGGCTTGCCGAGGGTTTTGGGTTCAGGGCCAGTAGGTTGAGAGGATAGTGTTAGGTGATTCTCTTTATCTTCTTGTTTGGTGTAGGGCTCTCCCTGTAACCTGTCCTTCTGGGATTGTGTCTTAGCAGCTTCTTTTGCATGTGGCATGCAGCGCGGAGCTACTGCTGGTTGAGCTAATCGCTCTTGTCCAGGCCTCTGCTCAAAAAGGGGGCCTGGTGTTTGCAGGATGCCTGCGGTCAATAGCAGCAGCTCTTTGTGCACGCAAGACTGCTGATCGCGATGTGGCCCTAGGAAGGCAATCAGCCAGTCAAGGCATCAAACATGGGGGGGACTATACGCGTTCTGTATCAACAGCAAAGGGAGGAGTTGCTGCTGCGGACTCTGCAGCAGATGCGGTGTTTGCAGCAGTGGCGTGCGTAGCAGAAGTAACTGTAGCAGTAGTGGCAGTACGCGTGTGTCAGTAGGGGGGCGGTCGCAGCAGGGGAGCTGTAGGTATTGGATCATGGTGTGTCCATAACGGCGCTGGGTAACGGATCAGCGTATCAGATCAGTCTGTGGTTGTACTGGATCGGTGGCTCCCAGCGAACTGG